AAAAAAGCTTTTAGCGGCTCGTCCCGTTCGATCTATTTCACATTATTACTCGCACCGGCGAATCAAACTGAAGCCGATTAAACCAACGATTCACCGAACAATAAGAAGCAGCGACGAGATCCGACGTTCGATCGATGCTTCGAGGGACTCGAGAAAAATGTATCGATCGATCTTCAAAATCGTAGGAGGATAAGAACGGTTTCGTTCCGATGGATGCACGGGACCGTCCGGAACGTCGGGCCGCGTCGGGCCGGGACCAATTTGCTGGAACCCGATGGGTCGTAGGATCGTGACGCAACCGGCTATCGTCGAGATCGAGCTCGTATCGTTTCGCAACAGGGTCATTAGGAGGGTCCGTTTTCGGGTCAGGACATTTGGCACGAGCGACCGATTCGGGGAACGAATCGACGTATTTATCCGTCGATGGATCCGACGATCCTCCTGTCGCGCGACCGACGATCAACTATCAACGATCAACCATCAACGATCAACGATCAACGATCCATGTCTAGACGGTCGTCCTATTCCCCCGAGGGACCGTCCCATCACGCGACCGATCATCTTCTTCCCGGGGTTTAGAAGAATGCAGATTCTTAAAAACGATCTCCACCGAGAACGATAAAAGAATAACAATAGAAGGAGTTGAATAACGTGACCTGTATTCGAAGCGTGAATCGTTGGATCGAGCACTTTTTTACGGAGACGCGCGGCGAGATGGAAAGAGAAGGAGCCACGAGTAGAAACGTCAGAGACTCAATGGCAATAAACGTTTGGACGGAAGCGTAATTGGCGTATCCGGTGGTCGCGGGATGCGGGGTGCGGAACGCGGGACGCGGGACGCTGACAACCCGAAGCCCGAAGCTCGAAGCCGTGCACACGCGTATGACGGCATTAATCATAATGCGCGCATTTGCACGCGGGACGCGCGGCTTAGATGCGAGCGCGAGCACGCGTGCGTGTCGACCCGCTGACAGTTCGTTTGAACGCAATTAGCGTGCCGCTTGATAGTTGCCGGCTTAACACGCTCGGCTATCGCGGCAACGATCGTCGAATCGAATTAACCGTTTCGTCGCGCTCCTCGCTGTCGCCCGATCGCGCCGCCCGCTGCTGGATCCTTTCGAGAAACCGATCCTTCTCGATCTATGCGACGGATCGAATCGAACAAAGATGCTAGATGACAAAGATAGAATTTACGCGAACAGGGAAAAAGGAAAGACGGACGTTCGAAACGAGACAAGGATGAGATTCGTGTCGACGATGGAAAAAAAGCTGTCGATTTAATAGGAGGACTGCGAACAACCCTTGCGCGACTTTCTGCCGAAACTCTCCCCGCAGAAAATAGACGACGTCCTAACTAAAATCATAGCGCCTCGACATCGTTCGCATCGCAGAAATTGAACGCGCGAGTCTCGTTGAAACGACCGAGTCATTTTTTATTTTACAGTCGGCTCGTAAGAATGAAAAGACCGTTCCGAGATTTCGCGCGGCGTACAGCATCGAAACGAGCGATTAATAATTCGTAAAAGGTGCGGTTTTACGATTCCAATGATTACATAAAACCGAGGCGAGACGGTGATCCGGCCCGGACCGATGTTAATTAACGAATTACCGCGAACGCGCCCTCGCGAGAACTCCTGTCCCGAGACTGCACCCCTGTTCCGCAGGGCGTTCCGCAGCCGAACGCCCCTGTTGGCCTCGAAAACTGGATTCTTTTCCCTCGAACGATCCCGACGAGCAACGCGATCGTCGAGAAGACGGCGACGTTGCAGGCGCGCGTTACGGGGGTGGATCGAGTACGCGCCAAGATGGATAGAAAACGACGCGGCTCGTAACGGCGGGGCTCAACTTTATGAATATTATTTTCCAGCAGATGTCCCCGACGATAGAACCTCGTCGACGTCGTCGTCGCAGTAATTAATGACGTCTCGCTGGGCTGGGGAAAGCGAGAGAGACGGAGGCGAGGCAAGACGGGGCAAGATGGAGCGAGAGTAAGAGCAACGGAGGAGGTTGAAAGGGAGAGAAGGCGGCTTCGTGGAAAGAGGAGAAGAATGGAGGCCGAAAGAAGCTGGCAAGGGGTGGTTGTTCCACGGGGGACGACGGTCGGAGAATTTCAGAGGTGAACGCGGGCGATAAGGAAGACGACGCGGCGCGGAGCGGCCGAGGCCGAGGCCGAGGGTGCCGGGAAGGTAGCAAAACCGACGCGGCCGGATAGCGAGCGACAATGCGCGCGAATTATCCCGGAATGACGGGGTAGTTTTAAAGCCAGGAAGCCGACATTAGCGCATTGATAGCGGCCCGCGCGTTCTGCCATCGGCCCCGACCATTAATATTACTTAGCTCACGGCCGGCGCGGCGCGGAGCAGAGCGGAGCGGAGCGGCGAGGGTGGTCGGATCCGTCGCTTCGCCGGTTTCCGTGTTTCGGATCCGTTCCCGACATCCACCCCCGTATCTGCCACTTTTCGAATCCATCGTCGACCGGGGTGCGGAAGAACAACCGTTGCTTACAACAAGCAACTTGGAAAAACCGAGATCCTTGTCTGCGATAATTAATCTTTTTTCCCCGGCAGTCCGCTCGAGCGAAACGAACGAACGAGTCTCGATTACTAAGAATATATCAACGAGTAAGAAGACGTTCGACGACGCGGAGCAATTACGAGAAGACGAATAAACTACAGAACAGATAAATCGCACACGAGTTCCTAATTCGATTTTTGCCAGCGGTCCGCGGGATTTTTTCGGTGCCGCAAAGGGGTAAGTTTCCGGCTTATGAGATTTAATCGAGCGGGTCGCCGGAAAGACAAACGAGCGGAATAACTTCCGCGACGGAGCTCCGACTCTGGATTTCGGTTTCGCCGGTGGCGGATCAACGGCGACAAATCATCGGGATTAGAACGGAAACGGACAGAGATTTTCTGGCGGGGGTGGGCCCGGTGGAGCAGAAGCGGCAGAGCGGCAGCCGACGGACAGAGAGGGAAAGAACGAAGATCGAAAGAGAAAACGGGGATGCGGGGCGTGAGCTCCGCGAGCTTGTAGAATCAAAAGGACAAACAATTAATAACCCCGGGCGGCGACGATTAATCAGAATTTAACTCGCAGTTAAATACTCGCTCGACGCCGACTCTCTGCTCGCAGTCGGAGGGGCGGTCAGGGGAGAGAAGAGAGCGAAGAGAGAAGAGAGGAGAGGGCGGCGAGGGCGGCGAGGGCGGCGCGAGGGTGCACGCAGGATAAACAAAGGTTTACATCAGTGTCAGTCGCAACAAGTCCGAATTCGTCTAGGGTTCTCGGCATGAATATTCACGGTGCTCGCTCGTCCGTCCCTTCCAGCCTCCGCTCGCGCCAATTCACCCTCTCCTCCCTCTCTCGCTCTCCGTCGTGTATCGGTGTGCACGCGGGTCCGCGACCATTTGCCACCCCCTGCGATATCCATCGAACGGCTACCAGTCAAAGGCTGAAATCACAATACGCGTTTGTCCGGTTGACGAAGTCGACTCGGCCGGGAGCCGCTAAAGCAAATAGAACGAGACGGACAGAGGGTGGACGCGCGACGGGGAAAGAGGCAGCCTCGGTCGCGGGGGCGGAGCGAGCCAATGGTCATTGCCTTTGAATTGGAAATTACGTTTCGGCCGGTCAAGTGTCGATTTTCACCCTCCCGTTCGCGCGGATCCACCGACGGGGTTCGCACCTTACCGATTCGCTGCCATCGATCTAGAACGCCCCATGGAAAAGACAGTCCTCTCGCATCGAAGCCGAATACTTTCGCGGACGCGCGAGAGAAGAGGGTACGAAAAATCTGGAAACTTTAGACGCGGCCAGCGCAGGGTCTCGAGAGCAAACGGTCTGCAGGATCAACCCTTTGACGACGATACGTCGATGTCTCCCTCTCTCTCATCGGGACGAACATAGTACGAACTCTACGAGAGTTTTCCGATGAAAGATTTTACTACAAAAAGTGGACAAGAGAATGCCGATCGGAGCCTTTAGCCTTGTCCTCGACCGGTCGTGGAAGGGCTAGAATAGAGGGTGGTTAATGAAAGATCGTTTTGGGGCGCGAAGTTCCGCGAAGCGATTTAGCGGGTCCGCGGAGCGAAAGAGCGGCTTTCACGAATAAAGCTCCCCGTCGTCGAAAAGGAGGCGAGCGGTTCGCGTCGCGGGGGTGCGAGCGACGTCGAGGGGGCGTAGAGGCGGCGGCGCGCGGGACCGTTTCCCAGCCAGTCGAATGATTTAATCCCCGAATGATGGACGGGCACGTCGCGACGATGATCTGCGTGCCGTGAAGTGACAAGTGGTTAGGATCACGGTTGAAACCTCGGTGCGGCGGATGAACGTGGGGCGGCGGGGGTGGCTGGTGTTCGACGGCGGGTTCTCGTCGGTGGTCGACGTCGGTGTCGTATCGGTGACGGGACCGGGCTGCCGGCGAATGGATTTCAGGCGCGAGGGGTGGTTCGGGGCCGGACGGGGGTGCCGGCGGTGCGTGGCCTCGCACCGTACAAATCACGCGGGCATTACGGCGTCAAGCGCGGACTCAACGTGTCGCGCGACCGGAAACTCGATGCGGACGGTAATGCTGATTTATCGGAAGCGCGAGCGACGCCCGCGGACGTCGGGCCGCGTCGGGCCGCACCGTTGCACCGCAGCCGCAACCGCTCCCGCGGTATTTTTCCGTTTACAACGGTCGCGCGAGAGCCGCTGTCCCGTGCTCGCTCTTCATCAACCGTCCCGCGAGCTCCGACCGAGATAGAGAGGCCTCCGCTCGCAAATCCTACTCCGGGGTTTGCATTTTTCTCGGCTCGTTTCTACCCCCTAGCCTCGAATTCCACCCTTGGGTACCGAATGCGATCGCGCCCACCATTTGTTGCGACTATCTGTCCTAAGCTATGTCAAGCCAGGCTAGCCAGACTACGCCGAGACAAGGTGCTCGACCGGAACCACCGTCGAGCCCGCAGCCAGACCCTGTCTGGCCCAGTTTCAGGGCCCGGAGTAAGTAATGTGAGCGTTCCTACCTTTCGAGATGTTTCACGATATCTTCGTAGGCAGCTCGGCAGTTTTCCCAAACCGTCCCGGACCTGTGGATCACAAAAAAAAGCGACACTTGAGACAGACGACGGTGAAACGCGAACAGGATATCCGGAGCTCCTGTTCCTCGACTTCGAAAGAAGAACGCGTCGAGGGGGGTTGTTGCCGCGGATAGAGACGAATCGAGGGGAGACACGGCGGAATGGTACCGGGTTGGGTGGGAGGGGGGGCACGGGGTTGATAAGCGAATCGGTTAATTATAAGCCCTGCCACGGGATATCCTCGAGGAAAGTGGATCCGCGGAGTTGATTAAGAGTCCTCCTCGTTCCGTCTCGTCTTTCGTTTGTCCTTTGACTCGATCGTGCCTGGTCCCGACTCTCGAAACGAAGACGACGACGGACGCTTTGAAGTTCCGGGGGCTGATTAAAAAAGACGTCGTCGCTAGGCCCGGCTAATTTACTCTCTGCGCGGCTTATCGACCGTTGGAAAAAATGACGGACCAATCGGGAGAACGAGTTCGAAGCGGACGTTCGATCGGAGGTACGACTCGCGATGGACTCTAGGCTAGTCGAGGGTGGCCAGGGTGGCCAGGGTGGCGAGGGTGCAGGGGTGGGTCTCGAGGCTGAATTAGAGGGTGGCGATAGGGCAACGGTGGTGACGGCGGTGCGCCAGGATGGGGTTGCGTTGAATTAATCATATTCCGGTGTTTGTCGTGCCGCCCCCAGACGTAATCCGTCTTACCTTCTACTCTCTCTCTCTCTCTCTTTATATATATATATATATATATATATATATATATATATATATATATACATCTGACACGATAGATTTGCATTTTAATTAAAAGCAAAGCGCTGAAATCATAATGCGAAACGTGCGGCGCCGCCTTCGTCGCGTCGTTCCGCGCGTAGCACGCGTCCAACTTCGAAAGGACACGAGGTATCCGCCCGGAGACCTGTCCCGCGACGTTTCCGAGGAATGCTGGACCAGTCTTCGTGCCTGCCTCGGGCTCCCAGAATCGCCTCGAACAGCGAAGCTCGCGAGAAAGGACGCGCGAGGAAGAAAAATCGAGAGAAGAAGCGGTTCGGGATAGGCTAATGGCGAACGGGTGGAGGCTCTAATTGCAGCGGGCGGATGTAATCGAAAATTAAGGCGGCCGTCTGGATCCTCGGAAGCCCCCGGTGGCAGAGGCCGAGGTCTTAGAGAGAAGAGGGAGCCGCAGCCGACGGCATCTATTAGAAACGCGTTAACAAATGCCGGGATTAGCCGCGCAGTCTACCCTCTCCGGAGGAACACCGCCCTCCTTCGACGAACCGAGGTGCACCCTGAGCCAGTCTCCCTGCCCCCGCCCCTGCCGAGCCCGATCGACGCGATCCACCCCCACGAATCGCATAATCTACGATATACGTCTCCGCGTCGCCGACGCTTCTAGGATTTGCTCGTTCGGTTCACCGAAACGGACGCGGCCCTTCCGACGGTGATAATTAAATGGGTTTGTCGTTTCTTCGAAGCCTCGAATGAATTTTCAGCGGAATAATTGCTACACGGAGCTCGAAGTATGTACGCGTACTTTCGTACGTTTGTTTCGACGTAACATCGTCGTGAATTTTCGAAATGCCGGACTGTAACTTTCCAGGAATGTGGACCGTGTGGACGGATCTATCGAAGAAAACTAGTTGAAATAATCTCGAATTCTGACCTACCTATAGATTGGCTCGCGACGGGGTGCGATGTGACGAGGCGAGGCGAGGCTGCAGAGAGTGCCGACGACGGGATCGCGTGGCAAACACGCGGAAGAAGGGTGCCTCGGTTGAGGTCGCGCGGGAAAGGTAACTCGAGCCGAGTAAACGACCTAGAAGGAACGCGAGGCACCCAAGGAAACGGACTCCGGAGCCGGGACATCGTCGCGAAGACGGCGCGGCGCGGCGCGGCGAGAGAGGCAAGAAAAGATCAAGCAGTGTCGAGACCCCTTGGATTTCCACGGCTTCGCCGTCTCTTCCAATCCTCTTAAAGTTGTATTCTTTTGGCCTCGCCGGCCCTTGGTCGCGACTCACGACCTACCCGCTTGCAGGACGAGCGTTCGCGCGCGTGCGCGGAACAGCTCGGAGAACGAGCAAATCCAATTTCCGAATCGCAGCCCAGTCCGAAACGATCGCGCCACCCCCGCCCTCGCCTTTCTTTTCCTCGCTATCGCCTTCAATCGTTGAATCAGCCTACGAAGAGCCTAATCTCCCGTCGAGGCTTCTACCTGTTAACCGGCTGACTTTTCCCGGCCCTCGACCGAGGGTTTCCGCGAGATTTGTCCTCGCCGCGAGAGTCTCNTATATATATATATATATATATATATATATATATACATCTGACACGATAGATTTGCATTTTAATTAAAAGCAAAGCGCTGAAATCATAATGCGAAACGTGCGGCGCCGCCTTCGTCGCGTCGTTCCGCGCGTAGCACGCGTCCAACTTCGAAAGGACACGAGGTATCCGCCCGGAGACCTGTCCCGCGACGTTTCCGAGGAATGCTGGACCAGTCTTCGTGCCTGCCTCGGGCTCCCAGAATCGCCTCGAACAGCGAAGCTCGCGAGAAAGGACGCGCGAGGAAGAAAAATCGAGAGAAGAAGCGGTTCGGGATAGGCTAATGGCGAACGGGTGGAGGCTCTAATTGCAGCGGGCGGATGTAATCGAAAATTAAGGCGGCCGTCTGGATCCTCGGAAGCCCCCGGTGGCAGAGGCCGAGGTCTTAGAGAGAAGAGGGAGCCGCAGCCGACGGCATCTATTAGAAACGCGTTAACAAATGCCGGGATTAGCCGCGCAGTCTACCCTCTCCGGAGGAACACCGCCCTCCTTCGACGAACCGAGGTGCACCCTGAGCCAGTCTCCCTGCCCCCGCCCCTGCCGAGCCCGATCGACGCGATCCACCCCCACGAATCGCATAATCTACGATATACGTCTCCGCGTCGCCGACGCTTCTAGGATTTGCTCGTTCGGTTCACCGAAACGGACGCGGCCCTTCCGACGGTGATAATTAAATGGGTTTGTCGTTTCTTCGAAGCCTCGAATGAATTTTCAGCGGAATAATTGCTACACGGAGCTCGAAGTATGTACGCGTACTTTCGTACGTTTGTTTCGACGTAACATCGTCGTGAATTTTCGAAATGCCGGACTGTAACTTTCCAGGAATGTGGACCGTGTGGACGGATCTATCGAAGAAAACTAGTTGAAATAATCTCGAATTCTGACCTACCTATAGATTGGCTCGCGACGGGGTGCGATGTGACGAGGCGAGGCGAGGCTGCAGAGAGTGCCGACGACGGGATCGCGTGGCAAACACGCGGAAGAAGGGTGCCTCGGTTGAGGTCGCGCGGGAAAGGTAACTCGAGCCGAGTAAACGACCTAGAAGGAACGCGAGGCACCCAAGGAAACGGACTCCGGAGCCGGGACATCGTCGCGAAGACGGCGCGGCGCGGCGCGGCGAGAGAGGCAAGAAAAGATCAAGCAGTGTCGAGACCCCTTGGATTTCCACGGCTTCGCCGTCTCTTCCAATCCTCTTAAAGTTGTATTCTTTTGGCCTCGCCGGCCCTTGGTCGCGACTCACGACCTACCCGCTTGCAGGACGAGCGTTCGCGCGCGTGCGCGGAACAGCTCGGAGAACGAGCAAATCCAATTTCCGAATCGCAGCCCAGTCCGAAACGATCGCGCCACCCCCGCCCTCGCCTTTCTTTTCCTCGCTATCGCCTTCAATCGTTGAATCAGCCTACGAAGAGCCTAATCTCCCGTCGAGGCTTCTACCTGTTAACCGGCTGACTTTTCCCGGCCCTCGACCGAGGGTTTCCGCGAGATTTGTCCTCGCCGCGAGAGTCTCTCGACCCTCGAAATAATTTATCAGAGACACCGGTATTTATTATTTAGCCTATTTAACGGCGCGGAACCAGCGGCGGTTGGAAACAATTACGACGTCGGTTTCGGTTCTCGAAACAGTTTTGGCGGACTCACCTCGCAAGCGCCTCCATGTTGGACATGTTCGGGTTGACTTTCAACCCCTGCTCGGCGCGCGCCTGAGCTTGAGCCTGCAGGTGGTGCGGCAGACTGGCCGGCGACAGGATAGCCGTGTGTCCTGCGCCAGGATGACCGCCCAGTTGCATGAACTGCATGTGGCTGAGGTGCGTGGGCGGGTGGTTGTACCCGTTCGCTAGCAACGGGGACTTCTCCATCCTCGGAACATCTGCAAACAAAAATAGGCCGACGATTAGAACGAGGAAACTTTTGCCGAAAAGTCGTCTTCGCTCGTTGTTCAGAGTTTCGGCAAACTGCGCGAACCAAATATGGAACACGCGGCCTTCGAAACATTCGCGCGTCCCCCTCGGCAAACGCGGCGCGTATATTTGCGGACTCGGATTCAGCCCGTGTGGATTTTCGGCGATTCGAGAGGTCTCCTAGATCCGGCGATGTATCTTCGTCAGCGGGGACATTTGGGGGATGACCGTGGCGAGCGAGCGGGACAGGGGCGATGGATCCCGGGATCGCGAGGATGCTGCGGATCGAGAATCGAACTCGTTGTTGCCGTTTATACCGAACGATTCGACGATTATCGGGGACCGGGTCCCTCGGATGATGCTATTGGGAGGATTGCGAAGGTAGATAGAAAGGGGTGAGCGAGAGAGAGCGCGGGGCATCGGGGCTAGGAAGGAAGGGGGTAGAAAATGAGCGGTGCCTATTCATTACAAATTATCTAAATGGCAGTGATTTCGGCGGACCGGCTGGCCGTTTGACGAGTAAGTGGCGGGTTCGCTGGTCAGTGACTGTCGATCGCGGCCTGTGCCAGGCGGCTGGTAGTCGTCGAGAGCCGGACCGCCGCCTCGTTCGACAACCACTGCTGGGACCCGGCCCATGACCGGCCCTAAAATTGGACTTATTACAACTTATAGAGCGCGATTTGAACGCTCCGCTCAATAACATACATTATCCCCAATCCATATGATTTAATGAAATCCCTCTAAACTCTCCACTTAGCCTCAGTACCTTCTCGCGCGGTGCACTCCCTTCTTTTTTCGTGTATGTGCTCTGCGAGCAGATTGCTACGTGCGCGCGGAGAGAGACGCGGCGACCGGACGAACGAGAAGCAAAGAGGCAAAGAGAGAGAGAGAGAGAGAGAGAGAGAAAGGATACGAAACCAGGAGAAAGAGAGGAAAGAGAAGAACGAAGGGTCGAAGACTCGGCGTGGCACGTTCCGATCGGCGAGGATGCTTAAAACGCTTGTCCGCCGATTTTTATAACCCCGACAATGGGTATTTGCGGCGGTCGCGATACCGCTCGACTCTCGTCTCTCGGTTCTCGGCTCGCGGCTCTCGCTTCTCTCGCTTCTCTCGCTTCACTCGCTTCTCGCTTCTCGGTTCTCGACCGATGAAGACGTTTCGAGCGTGTAACCACCGGACGCGGACGCGGCCGCAGCCGGCTACCCTCGCGGAAGATCGGAATCGCGAACCGATCGCGGCGGACACTGCGGCTCTCTCTCTCTTTCTCTCTCTGCCTCTATCTCCGGAGAGCTACGAGGGAGGGAATTCGCTCTCGAAAAAGATCGCAGAAGGATATCTGGTCGCGAATCGCCCCGGGCCAGGCGAGAAGGGACGATAAAACACAATTTGAGCTAAAGACCGCGCTCCTATAACTTCCCACCCCTGCCCCCGCGCGAACGGACCAGCGCCGACGCCACCGCCTTTGCCCCTCTCGTAGCTGATGAGGTGACAACCCATAATTATACAGACCGCTTTCTGTCTGGCCTGACTGCAGTGGCATGCAGAGGAGAGAGGCCTCCATCATCCGCCCCCTCCACCTCTTCCTCCTCTTCTCCTCCTCCTCCTTCTTCTTCTTCTTCGTCTTCTTCTCCTTTTTCCTCTTCTTCTTCTTCTTCTTCGACTTCTTTCCTGCCGACCGAGCCCTCCAGACCGTGCACGTACTCTTTCCTAGCCGAGCGTCTCGCCTTTTTCTCTACTCGCCCATCTTCTCTCTCTCTCTCTCTCAGTCTCTTTCTCTCTCTTCGATTACGGTCACTCGACGCAGTTTACTTTCGTTGGCACTCTGGTAGTCGCGAAAATGGTACAATCGGAGATTGATCGTAGGAAGAGTTTCGGCTGAATTATTTCGACGACGATCTCTCAGGTAGACAATGAACGAATCGACGAGCTAGGTCCGCGAGAGCGGGGGTGGGCCAGCGAACCCGAAGCAGTCGGTCGCTTCCCCCCCCCCCCTGCCCGGCGGTCCCGCCGCCCTCGCCGGAACATCCGAAGCAAGCTACTTCTTTCACTGGTGTTAATTACAAAACGCGAGAATAAATTGCCGAGCTAAATGAGTGCCCGGCGAGTCCCTCGTCCCCCCTGCCTCCTATCGTCGCGTCCGTTCCCCGGCGACGGACAGATGAATGGAAGGCGAGTCCGTCTACACAGGTGGAATTTGTTATGCGTCGCGAACACGGGCCTTTACTCGTGGCGTCGTGGCGAGCCCTTGGCCGACAGCTGGAAATCACTCGGCGAGATAATGCCCCGGCCCCGACCCTCGCGGAACGCGATGAAGATCATTGGCAGAAAGGAAACGGACCGTTCGATGGGATACGAAGTCCTTCTCCAAATTATTCGGCACTCGGAAGTTGCGTTCTATCGCGAAAGGCGATCTCGCCGAGAATTCCCACGGCAACAACTTGTCGAGAGCGAATCATTTTTTCGGATCGTTCGAGAATTTCACCGCGAACTCGAACGATTTTATCGCGAAGAACGATAGCTCCCCGCCTCGGTTCGAGGCTGTCGGACGTACGGAAATTTCCATGGGAACCGCGCGTACCAAAAATTGATAGGACGATGTTAACTCGCGGTTAGAACGGACGCATCGTATAAAACTACGTTCGAATGTTCGAAACAACGCGAAAGCTATGAAAAACTAGACAGCGTGGAACGCGACCTGTCCGTCGCTGCTTATTTTCGCGAGCGAAGGCACCCCATAAAATTGCCTACAGCCGATAGAACACCCCATGTGCTCTCGGGCTTCGGCCAGAGAGCGAACGGTACCCTGGATCGGGCAGGGCTCGACCTGCCGTCTTCCCTTTGTGCTTTTTTCGCCAGTCCGCAAAGGAGAGATCTATCCACCGTGCGGTCCCTGGCCCGACTGACCGAGAGCAAACGACGTGAAATTATTTGGAAAATTTCCCCTTTGTCCGGGGACGCTCCCCGTGGGACGAGCCACACGAACCTTCCGCGCTATTGTTCTTACCAAGCGACGAAGAAAACGCGATGCCCACTCGACGACGACAACGACGACGACGACGACGAAGACGACAGGACGTAGACGTCGTCGTTTCGCTGTTCCATCGAGATATTTGCGCCGAGCTATGTATATGTTTACCCTCGGCACGGACTCCCTGAAAACCCTTGGATTTAACCCTCGAACACCGACCCTCGACGACATCGCGTGGCGGCCCTTTAAGTGGCTTCGACGCGCCACCCACCCCCGTCGTTCTCGCTTCTTTCTTTCTTTCCTTTGCGACTCGCTTCCTTACGTTCCGACTCCGATCTAGCTCTCCTCGGCGACCTCCTCCGCCCCCGCAGGCTTCGAACCGACCCCGATCGGCAGCCGAACTCTCGCGTACGCGGGCGAGAATCGCGCCGTTATGTTGGCGTGCACGTGCATCCAACATTGTTCCCCGGCCGTGTAGTGGTACATAAACACGAGACGGGAAACACAGTTTCGCGCAGGAGGAATCCGGTTTTTCAAGTAATCGAGAGAGTCGAGAAGCCGGGCAGGCAAGCTAGCAGGCAGGCAAGCTAGCAGGCAGGCAGGCAGGCAGGCGGGCAGGCAGGCAGACAGCCGGGCAGGCGGGCGGGCGGGCGGGCGGTCAGGCGGGCAGCCATCGAGGTAGCTCCCTTTGCGTCCAGTCTGGAGAGAACCGAGGAGAGAGTGGATGCCATGGGTATGTACACCTCCTCCTCGCTCCTCCTTCGCTCGACGGTCTTCTTTCCTCGCTTTCCTCTTTTACCACACCCATTCTTCTTAATCGCTCCACCGCACCGGCCACGTACCTATTGAGACGTACGTCCTCGCTGTCTCGCGGCTCCAAACTCCCTTCCCTCCAACCGACAGCGTTTTTGACCGATTGCGCCGATCCAGCGACCAGGAATTCCTCGATCCTCTCGGCCCTCGAGCTGCGCGACCGCGAGATCTGGATTCTTCGATTCCGACCTCGAAAGCTATTTTATCCGAACAACCGCGTCGATCGAGTTCGCCTCTAAATTCGCAGCGCGTCTCGAAGATCCACCGAGAGGACTCGTCCTCGAGCTTCCAGCCGTCGGACGAAGAGTCCGTCGAAGAGTCCGTCGAAGAGTCCGTCGAAGAGTCCGTCGAAGACTGCGGTATCGGAGACTTAGCGCTCGACTCCCTAGGGAGACAAGATATCACGTGGGTGAAGCAGAAGTACGAGCAATCTTTCTCGTCGACTCTGGCCAAACCATCCGCTAACTTTCGCGTCCTACCAGCTTTCGAGACGAAACCCTTTCGCGTCGTTCCGTTCGCCGACCACGCGACGCGACGCGACGCGATACGACGCCTCGTCTCGCCGCGCCTCGCCTCGCCTCGCGAAAGAGCAGCCCAGTATTTGTTCTTCCAGGGTCTCCCCGGGTACACGAGCATCATCCGAGGGCAGTAAACCTTTTGATATATAGTCGAAGCTTTTTAGAGTTCTGTCAGCCACGCCCACAATCAGCCTTAGTATTATTTACACTCCTGGTGGTTTGTAGTCGGTTGTCCCGCTCGCACGTCCCTGCTCCGCGTCTGCTCCGTGGCTGTTCCTTTTTTAACCCGTCCCCCGTGCACTCCTCTCGTTTCGTTCCTCTCGCCGGCCTCCGTTCCTCTTCGGCGTCGGCATCGGCATCGTCATCGTCATCGTCGATCCTCCGCTCGTTTTTTCCCGTCGATTCACCGTTTTTCCCTGCCGAAGGAATCGACGGGCTTCCGTCTGCTCGACGATGATCGAGATCGCGATTCACGGACCCGGCAGCCTCTTCGGCAACGTCATCGTGGTTTCTGCGATGGTTTTTCGCACGATTTTTCCCCCGCGCCGCGGATCGATTTATACTGCCTGTGACCTCGTTTCAGATCCATCGATCCGGTGATTCGGAGATCCTCTTCTTCGGTTTCTGACTTTTTCAACGGCCACCGATTTGCTTTGCATCTCGCTTCGAA